CCCTCCTCGCAGGGCCAGCTTTGGGCTTCAGCGGGGGGCGGAGCCCACCTGTGACTCCAAGCTGGGCCTCAGCCAGAGCCTGGAGCCCCTGCCCGCCCCCAGGGAGCTGGAGCCCAGGACCGCAGCCCCTTGGAGCCTTGTCCTCCAGGGCCCTTCCTTCCTGCCTGGCTCTCTACAGCCCAGCGGACCATGGGTATGAGGTTCCCGGCCCCTGGGTCCAATTCCCGCCACCCCTCTGTGACCTCGGAGGAGGGAACATCCTGGAGTGGCCTTGTTGCTCTGTGGTCCTTTGTCCACAGGCCACCTCCATCTTGCCATGAAAGCAACAGCAGAGGAGGGAGACTCTTGACTCCTCCTTTTCTGGAGGAGATGCTTTCGAGGGGTGGTCCCTGGTTTCTCCTCTCCGTGGTCGCGTTATCAGGAAGGAGCTTTGTTTGCCAAATAAAGATTTGACTCAGAAAAATCGGGTCATGGCCTCTTTGTGTGTTTGAGAAGGGTATTTTCCGATCCCTTCCCAAAGTAGGCCTCCCACAAACTGGGCCTTGCCAAGAACATCTATGATTTCCTTTCTCTCATGGTCTGCCAGGCTTCCTCTTGGCTCTTGGAGGTCATTTCTGGCTCCTTCCTTGGGCCCAGTCCCCTGGATCATTAGTCATCAAATCTCATTAACAACAAAAAAGCATCTCTTTTCCTATTGACTTTAATGGAGCCAGAAGTCTTACAGGTTGCTTTTTATTATCCACTATATAAGTAATACATGTTTATTGTAGGAAAACTGAAAAACTTAGATTTACTTAGTATAATTATTTATATAATAGTTAACTGTCTGCTAGGCATTGCCCTAAGCACTTTATAAGCATTAACTCATTTATTTGGATAAATGGTGCAATAATTACTCACAGCTGTACCTTTCCAGAGTTAACTTCTTTTAAGAATTTGGTTCTATCCTGAAAGATCTCCCTCCCAACATATATCCTTTCTAGCATCACTGCACACAAGTAGGACATCACACTTTTGTTCAGAATCTGAACTGTGCAGTCCTACCATGTGCCCGCCTCAAGAGAGAAGTGTGGAAATCTCCACCTACAAATGTGAATTTGTTTCTCCTTGCACTTCTGCCATGTTTTGCTTCATGTACCTTGGAGCTCATGGCTCGCTGCGCGCCCATTTGGGATTGTTATATTCTGATTGTTTTTGTCCTTTAGCATTATGAAATGACCTTCTTTGTCCCTGGTAATATCTCTTGTTCTGAGGTCTACTTTGTCTGTTATCAGTATCACCACTCCAGCCTTTTTCTGATTGGTGCTTTGACAATGATTTTCAATTATATTGTACTATATGTTCCTTTTTCATAGCATCCTATACTTTTCTTTGTGACGGAAATGCCTTTTGGGGTTTCCCTGAGGATACATACATTCACTTTTAAAAATATTTTAAAAATTCACTTTATCAAAGCATTATTTACGTACCACAAAATTCAAATACATACTATAAAATTCAACAATTGTAGGCATAAAAATTTGATGACTTAGGTTGAATGTATACACAGCTGTGTACCCACCACACAATCAAGATATAGGACATTTTCCTCACCCCGAAATGTTCCTTCATGTCCCTCTGCAGTCAGCCTTGTCTCCGTAGCTTTGTGTTTTCTAAACTTTCATAGAATGGAATCACATAGTTTGTAGTATTTTGCGTCTGGCTTCCGTAACTTAGCAGAGTGTTGTTTTTATTTTTATTTTTTTAAGATTTTATTTATTTATTTGACAGAGAAAGAGCACAAGCAGAGGGAAGCAGGAGAGGGAGAAGCAGGCTCCCTGGGGAACCCGATGCCGGCTTGATCCCAGAACCCTGGGATCATGACCTGAGCTGAAGGCAGATGCCTAACCGGCTAACCCACCCAGGCGCCCCGTAGCAGAGTGCTTTTAAGATGCATCTGTGCTGCGTGCACCAGCGGTTCATCTCTTTTAGCTGTTGAGTAGTGTTCCATTGGACATTTGGGCGAGTTCCAATTTGGGGCTGTCATCACTAAAGCTGTTGTAACAATGGCATACCGTTCCACTACTGGGTCCTGTGGTAAGTTTATGTGTAACTACACCCTAAGAATCTGCCAAATGGTTTTCCGAAATGGTCGTACCATTTTGCTTTCCCATCGGCAGCGCACAAGAGTTCCAGTCGCTCCCCATCCTCAACAACGCTTGGTATTCAGTATTATGAATAAAACCATTTGCACATTTTAATTTTTTGAAAGTTGTCCCCTAGGCTCTGATTTCCTCTGGAATCAGGTTGTCTTGGTCCTTCTCTTCTATGCTGCTGGTTTATCTCAAGGATCTGGGGAGCTTTGGTTGTCCATATTTAGGAATGAAGAACTAGGGGGTTTTAATTACAGTGGCTGGTATATGCCCCCTAGCTCTGCACCTCTTCTCAGTTCTGTTATGGTTTTTGTTTCCTTTACATATCTTCACTGTCGTTTCAGTGGGAACTAGAGGAAGAGAGAGGGGCAATGTGTAAGTTCAGTCCACCAGCTTGAAATGGAAGCTCTCTACATTCTTTGAACGATTTGTTTGCCATGGGAGTCATAGTGTCTGGTAAAGAGCAGGTGCTTAAATATTTGTTAAATTCAACAAATTAAGAGGATTTTGTTGTATAAATATGTCAGAACTTAAATCAACCTCACATTGTTCCATATTCAGATTGTTCTTGGTTTTCTGCTTATTGATAATTCTGCCACGACATCTAGAATTAGAGAGGAAGATGAGAGAGATGGAACAGAGGAGAGATGAGAGAGATGATGAAGATTGGAAAGATGATGGTGAAAGAGATGGAAACAGAAAACAGAGATGGACATGAGGGAGACAGACATGGAGGTGACGGTGATGTTGGAAGTGGAGACAGTTAAACTTGTGGGCAAGGAAAATGCCACTGTGGCTTCAACTCTACCTTGGCCTCTTTCCTCCATAACCCAGGGTCCAGGAGCCTGTGCAGTGTAGTGGTTCAGAGGCAGTGGGCTTAGTTCAAATTCTGGTTATACTACTCACTGCCTGCGTGACCTGGACAAGTCATTTAACTTCTCTCAGCCTCAGTTCATTCATCTGCAGAATGGGCATAATGACGCTATCTCCCTCATGGGGCTGTTGTGAGGATGAAAGGAGAGAAGTATGTAAAGCACCTAGAACTAAGGATGACACAGAATAAGTACTCAATGATGTTAGCTGGTGGTGGTGGTGAGGCCGTGGTGAAGGTTGGGAGCTGCATGCAAGGTGTGATGCTCAAGGGGTGCCTCAAAGGGATATGTTAAATCTTTACACATTTTTCTCTTCATATTCTATTTCCTACCCTGATTTCTCAGCAACTCCTACTCATACCATCTCTGCTACCAGCATCCATTTACAGCTACTGATGACTGCACACACACACACACACACACACACACACACACACACACACAGACACGCTCTTCAGAGGTTCCCTAAGACTTCCTTGGGGACTCCTCATCAGAGCACAAGATGCTTCAGGGACCAGAGCCAGCCCCAGCTGACTGCCCCAGAAGCCCGGCACAGGACCATGGAGGGCAGATAGAACATCCCCAAAGGACAGGTACAGCAGCAGAAGCTGTGCTTTACCCCAAGGTAAAAATCTGCACCGCACCCCACACCCACTCCACGTCCAATCCCTGCCCCCAGAACTTCCAGGAGAATCCTGGCTTCTGCATTCTTGAGGCCATGAATGCCTTAACGCCACCCAGTGGCCATAGGCGGAATTGCACCTGTTGAGGAGTGAAGCACTCTGCTACCTCCCAGTGGCCCTGGTTGGGATCCCAAGAGGAAGGAATACCGCTACTGCCGACTGGCCGTTATGGGGTTAGCGTCTGCTGCGCCTTGTGGCCACGGGCAGAACAGCACCAACCGTAGGGGGTTAGGAGCCAAGGAAGGCAGGCAGCCTGTGCAAGCTGGAAAAGGCAAGGAAAGCGATCCTCCCCTAGAGCCTCCAGAAGAAACATAGCCCTCCCCACACCTTGATTTTAGCCCAAGGAGATCCATCTCAGACGTCTGGCCTCCAAAGTTGTAAGCCCGAAATTGCAGCAGCCCAAGGTAGAGAAGATCTTATCTCAAAGAGATCTGTGGGTGGGCTTGTCTAATGGAGTGAATCCCAACAAGATTCACAGAAGACCCACGAACTTAAGATAATTCTACTGGCAACGCTACCAGCTGCGGCTGAAAGGGACAGACAGTACAAAATGAAATGAGGCCTTAGGACCCCCAAACTCTTTTCTGCTTCCCAGGTAACGCATTCCCATCTTCTTAACGTCAAAATGCCTCAAAACTGAGTTAGTGATCAGAAAATTGCCGGAGTAGTGAATAATTTTCAACAGGCAAGAGGGGAAAATGTCATCAGTGCTCTAAGGAAGCCCATTGTAATACCCTCTGGCACAGCACGGAAGCCTCCAAGGGGTAGAATACTTACGAATCTCCTCCCGCAACAGTGCTTATGGAACACTATTAACACAATTCAGGGCTTCTACCCCTGAAATTACTGAAGAAGTTCCCTCCCGCTGATAGGTTTTTATATTCTGAGAGTTCCAGGGCACCAACCCGTGGCTCCCTTGCTCACACTGAGGGGCCCTCCCTCCTTTCCTTTCCTCTTCCCAAACTTTTGAAAGGCTGGAGGACCCTGAAGGTGGTTAGAGTTAGGCCCTGAGCTGAAGGTCGCGTTACGAGAGGACCCCCGCGACCCAGTATCCCGGAACGCCGAAGCACGGAGGAGAATTAAGCAGAATGGAAGCCCCCAATGCCAGCGTAGGTCTGCGCCTGCGCTAGAACCGCAGCTCCCAGGATCCTTCGCGACCAAGTTGCTTTCCGCCTCAGAGGCCCCCGCGGTGGGATTCCGGTGGACCTGAATGGCATGTGGACAAAGCATGATAAATAAGAGATTCCGGGAGCAAGAACAGGCGGAGCCTCTCTGTGAAGTACGGTCCACAAGCGTGTATAGGCCACAAACCTGGCACAGAGAAACAGGTTTTGGCCAGGAGCTGAGCTCGGAGACTTCTGGGAAATGGAGTCCGGTGGGGCGGGGAGATCTGTACGCATGACCGGAAGTGGTGCTATTGGAGCGCGTCCTCTTTGGCTGGCGCGGGAGCTGGGCCTGGTGTTTGGTAGTGTCCGCGGCGGCGGTTTCTCAACTCGAGCTGGCAGCCTGTAGCGTTCTGGAGTAGCCGGCAGGGGGTTTTTCCATGCGGCGTTCTGCTTGAGACCGGGCTGGTGGTTGCTCCACGGACTCCTGAGCCGCGAGGCCTGGCTGCCTCTGGGCAGACTGCAGAGACCTGGCTGGACGGGCCCGACCCGAGCTCCCAGGGCCCAGCATCGCAGGCTCAGACCCGGCCTCTGAGGGGAGAGGCCGGAGAGAAGAGTCCAAGCCGGGAGCAGTCAGAGCAGGCCTGCAGAGCGCGGCTGGGGCTCAGAGAACTGCTGGGAGGTGGTGGCACGAGGTGGGACCCAAATGCCGGAGGAAGGAGGTGAGAAGGAGTGGTAGAGGGAGGGGTTTGCAGGAGATCCGGCGTCTTGTTCCAGCCTGCCCACGGATAGAGCTGTGTGACGGGGACCAGAACTCTGCGGCTATCCTTTCCACAAGTGGTTGGGGATAATCCTTTTTTGAGTGAAGAATTCTAGGGTCCAGAAAGTTCGAGAAGCTCAGGCCTGAATAACCTCTTGAGTTTCCTACTTCTTACCCCGATCTGCTTGATGCACCGATGGCATTTGTGAGTCGAGAGAAATGGGCCCTGGGAAGGAAAAATGGGACGATCCAGGGTCTCCTGTTGTTTCTGATGTGCCAGCCGTTCTTGAAGCAGCCAGGGCTTCTCGGAACAGGAGCCTTTGGCTCCACGTGAGACTGAGGGCCGGTTCAACGCAGTTGGACTGTGAAGTCGAAGAGGATATTGGGGCATTGGAATCAGGCTAGGATTCCTGTTTAAGCTGTGGGGTACCGGTTTAGGTCTTTTAACCCGTGTTTCTTCGTGGAGGAAAGGGTAAAATAACGTTAACTACCTCGCTTACCTCTACGAACTGTAAGCATCAAATAAAATAACGTTTTTGAAAGCATCTTGAACAGAACAAACGTGTATGTAATCTTAACCACCGAGATCTGTGCCGTCCTCCCCTAGATCAAGGGGTCCCTTTATTGGTCTGTAACTCTTCAAGTCCCAATTTCACATCCAGCATTTTATGTTGTCTTCCCCCAGAGACCTGGGAACAGCAAGCAGGATGGTTATCATCCTCCTGGTACTACCAAAGAGGACATGAAGGGACAGTGGAGTTAGAGACAACTTAGTAACATGAGGTCTGTGCTAAGACCAATATTCAGACCTAGTAGTACTTTTTCTGAGGGCTGTACCACCTCTTCTGTTATTTTTTATTGAGATATAACTCACATGCTATAACATTCATTTTTAAAGTCTACAATAAAGTGGCTTTGAGTATAGTCACAAAGTTGTGCAACCATCAACCACTATTTAATTCCAGAACGTTTTCATCACCCCCAAATGAAGCCCATACCCATTTCATCAGATCAAACTGGGAGTGAGGCCTGGAGCCGACTGTCGGCTCTCTCCTTCTCTCCTTCTCTCCTTCCCGCTCCCTCTGCCCCTCCTCCCACCCCCACCGCCACCCCCACCCGCACACATATGTGCTCTCTCTTTAAAAAAAAAAAAAGCCCATACCCATTAACCATCATCACTCCTCATTTCCTCTTCCCCTCGTCTATGGATTTCTACTTTCTGTTCTTACGGATTTGCCTATTCTGGACATTTCATAAAAACAGAATCACAGAATATATGTGTCTGGCTTATTTCACTTAGAATAATGTTTCAAATTTCATCTGTGTTGTAACATGAATGAATGTACTTCATTCCTTTTTGTGGCTGAATAATATTTCGTTGTATGAATATACCACATTTTGTTCCTTAGTTGTGGACATTTGGGTGGCCTCCAGTATTGGCTATTGTGAATAATGCTGCTGTGAACGTGTGTGCACAAGTTTTTGTGTGGATGTGTTTTCATTTCTCTTATTTGTGTACCTAGGAGAAGAACTGCTGGGTCATATGGTACCTCTGTTTAACTTTCTGAGGGTCTGTCACACTGTTTTCCTCAGTGACCACACCATTTCACAACCCCAGTAGCAATGTAGGAGGGTTCTAGTTTTTCCACATCCTCATCAACATTTGTTGTTTTCCTTTTTTTTTTTTAAGATTTTATTTATTTGCAAGAGAGAGTGTGCACAAGCAGGGAGAGGGGCAGAGGGAGAGGGAGAAGCAGGCTGCCCACTGAACAGGGAGCCTGATGCGGGGCTCAGTCCCAGGACCCTGGGATCACGACCTGAGCCAAAGGCAGACACCTAACCGACTGAGCCACCCAGGCACCCCATGTACAAGGTTTTGATAGTGTGAATGTGAATTCTTCCACTTCTTTTTCCAGTTTGTTTGGCTCTTCTGGGTCACTTGCATTTCTAGATGAATTTTAGTATCAGCTTAATCAGTTTCCATTAAAAAGTCCGCTGGGATTTTGTTCGGGATTACATTGATTCTGTAGATAATTTGGTGAGCATTGCCATCCCAACTTTATCTTCCAGTCCATGAATCCATGAGATGTCTTTCCATTTATTTATATCTTCTGTAATTTCAACAATGTTTGGTAGCTTTCGGTGTACATGTCTTGCATTTCCTTTGTTAAATTTATTTCTAAGTGTTTTATTCTTCTAATGCTCTTGCAAATGGAATTTTTTTTTTAATTTCACTTTTGGATTGCTCATTGCTACTGTATAGAAATATGGTTGGAGAAATGTCTATTCAAATCCTTTGCCCAATTTTAATTGGGTTGTCTTTTTATTATATATCCGTCTTGTATCTTGCAACTTTGCTGGACTTAGCTGTGATAGGGCTTTTTTTTTTTTGTGGATTCCTTAGGATTTTCTTTTCTTCTTCTTTTTATTTATTTATTTTTTTATAGCAGGGTTATTTTATTTTATTGTATTTTTTAAGATTTTATTTCTTTGAGAGAGAGAGAATGAGAGACAGAGAGTACAAGAGGGAAGAGGGTCAGAGGGAGAAGCAGACTCCCCGCTGAGCAGGGAGCCCGATACGGGACTCGATCCCGGGACTCCAGGATCATGACCTGAGCCAAAGGCAGTCGCTTAACCAACTGAGCCACCCAGGCGCCCCTATTTTATTGTATTTTTTAAGTAGACTCCACACCCAATGTGAGGCTGGAACTCATGACCCTGAGATCAAGAATCACATGCTCTACCAACTGAGCCAGCCAGGTGCCCCTCCTTAGGATTTTCCATATACAAAATCATATCTACAAATATTGATAATTGTACTTCTTCCTTTCCAATCTGAATGACTTCCCCGCCCCCAGCTTCCTAATTTCCCTGGCTAGAACCTCCAGTATAATACTTAACAGAAGTGAGAGCAGATAGCCTTGTCTTGTTCCTGATCTTCGGGGAAAGTATCAGTCTTCCACTATTAAGTATGATGTAAACCTGGGTTTTCCATAGTTGTTTTTTATCAGGTTGAGGATGTTCTCTTCTCGTCCCAGTTTATTGAATGTATCAGGAAAGGGTGACAGATTTTACAGAATGGTCTTTTTGGTGTTTATTGAAATGATCCACGTGGAGTCTTCTCCTTTTTATTACATTGGTATATTATGCAGATTGATTTTCATATGATGAACTAATCTTGCCTTCCTTCGATGAATCCTCCTTGGTCATTATCTTTCTTGAGTTGGCACATATCTTAAATCTGCAGAGCTACTTGCTCCCAACAAACTCAGCAGTAGATAATGTTTGTAAGCTGTGTGCTTACATGCGAGGCGTTGTGCCAGCTACTTTGCGTTTTTCTTTCATCTTCCCAGCAACTTTACAAGAGATTATCATCCCCATTTACAGATGAGAGGAATGCGACCTAGAGAGGTTGTATGATTTGCACACTGCTGGTAGGTGGGGGACCTATGCTCCTTGAGAGTCCGTTACTCTAATGACTCCCTGCGTCTGAGTGAACTGATGGTACTTCTGACGTAGGAAGGGGAATGGAGAAATCGGTCTGCAGATTCGGCCCGAGTCCCCTGCAACCTGCCATGTCCTGGGAACCCCCTTCTTCACAGTGCGAATGTGACACTCTAGGTTGGTGAGCTGTAACTTCTAAGCCTCATTGGTTTCTTTCCTTCCAGAGCTGCCTTCTGCAGACACTGCCCTTCCCCGAGACAAAAGCACAGGAGATGAAAGAATGGCAGCTGGTCTCCTCACAGTTGGGGCCCACGTAAGTTGGAAATGTACTCTGAGAGGCAGCCTCTTTTTTTTTTTTTTAATATTAAAGGGTTTTTTTTGTTCCTGTTTTTTAATTATAAGAGGACTTCGTGTTTACTGTAGAAAACCTGAAAAACACAGAAAACATACCCAAAAACTCACCCTTATTAACCACAGAGAGGAAACACTTTTAACATTTTCATTTGTGTCTTTTCAGTCCTCTTCCTTTTCTTTTCTTTTTCTTTTTCGTTTTTGTTTTTTTTTTTAAGATTTTATTTTTAAGTCATCTCTACACCCAGTGTGGGGCTTGAACTCACAACCTTGAGATCAAGAATCACACGCTTCCCTGGCTGAGCCAGCCAGGTGCCCCCATAGTCTTCCTTTTCTACTTTCCCAAAATGGGTTTGTCCTGCTTTTAATCTTCTTTTTATTTCCACTTTACAGAATGTGATTAATGTTTCTCCCTCCCATTAAGAGTGTGCTACAGAATCATTTCTAGCGTATTCTTTTGCATAGTCCTTCTACTAGGATAGGAACTGTCTTCTCCCCTTTTTTCCTGACTAGACTAGGTATTGACCTGTTTCTTTTTCTTCTTAGAAAGTCTGCTCTTGGATTTTTTTCATTGGTTCTCTTAGTAATAGATTTTTTTCTTAGTTTTTTGCTTTCACTTTTGTCAGATTTATTTTAAAATTTGATCTTTTAACCTCTTGAGTTGAATTTCTCATTTATATTCTTCCTTTCTTGTTTATGTTGAAAATGTTTGGCTGTGGGTCTTATTTTCTTAGATATTCCCAAATTGTCACTTTGGTTTCTCTGTCTGCCCATTCAGCTGGTCTGTGCTCCATGGGGACAGAGTGTCTTTTGTCAACCCAGAACAGCCAGATGTAGTGTAATTGCAGAACACAGGGTTCGATGGCTCTCTTAGCTCAACCTTAGTAATTAAATTGCTCAGTTCTTCCATACCTTTATTTTGTTGTTTATTTTGTATTAACCCTGCTAATGACTGAGTTATTTTAACACCTCACAGCTGTAATATTTTAAATTTCTTCTTGTACTTCCTACAGTGTTTTCTTTATTAGTTACGTGGTTCGTTACATAGTTCATGACGCTTAAATCTTTATGGTGGATTTTACTCTCTTGACTGTTATAAAATGACCCAAATGTTTTAAATATTTCATGGTTAAAAAAAAAAAAAAGACCCTCTTTGTCCCGTTGTACAGCATTTCTTAGTATGAGGGATGGATCGGAAGACCAAGTAAATTAGAGGTCATAATTTGGAAAATTATGCTGGCTTCAAATAAGGCAGTGACAGGGCCATGGAAAGAAATGTGTGAAATCTAGTGATAGTGTGAAGGAAGGTGAAGATGCAGTAATTTGTGATGAGCTGCAGGAAAGGGGAAGATAACACCCAGGTTTCTGGTGTCGCCCACGAGATAGGTGGAGGTACCATCACTTGCACTGAAAACAGACATGAGGCCTTTCTCACCTCCATGCCTTTGCTCATGGAGTATCCTCTGCCTTGGATAACCTTCCCTTTCTCCCTTGACAGCCTTTCTCCTTCAAGGCCAGCTCAGCAGTCACCTCCTCTCTGTGGTCTTCCTCCGTCCTCCATGCAGGATTCCTTCTCTGTTATCCTGGCAGCTGGTCAGCCTGTCTCTCTGACATGTTACTACAGGCAGTCACATACACGTCTGGCTCTCCTTTTGTACTGTGTGATATCCAAGTTCATGGGAACATTTAATAAACACTCTGAAAAATTGAGCGTTCACATTTCTTTCTGATTTTTCATTGCATAAATTTATACATCCTAATTTTGTTTTGTCTACACTGGCTATTTTAGTTCTGGAGCACCTGTTCGTTTCTGCCCATTTCCTTCTTTTATATATGGATATAGCTGTTTATGTATTCTCTCCATTTATATATAAAGTCTGTCAGAGTTGTAAACACGCAAAGAGACTGTATTTGATTTATTTCTGTGCGTCAGCATCCAGTATAGTGTTAGGCACATAGAAAGTGATCAATAAATGCTTTTCTTGAGCTGCCTAGAGCTGCCTCATATCCTGAGACCGGTGGGCAAGAAGGAATGTGCTTGTCATTTCAGGGGTCCATGCCCTTCAGCAATGTGACTGTAGCTTTTACCCAGGATGGGTGGAGGCACTTGATCCCTGCTCCGAGGGGGACTCCAAGGTTCAAGGAGGGGATACCAGAAAATGCCAGGAATCTGGTCCTGCTGGGTAAGGAAGCCATTTGAAATGTAGACTCTACTCAGTTCTGAATATCTGTGGCACTTTCCAGTGTTGAGGGATCCCGAGTTGCTCTGACACATCGGATAGTGTTTATTCCTCCTGGTTCCCTAGTGAAAGGTCTCTGCATTCCGGCTTGAGAAATAGGCAGTTTCATTTGCTCCCCCTGAGACTGCAGCTCCCTGTTTTCTTATTTCCCAGGAGGGGTAGGGTGACCTTCAGGCCAGTTCCTCCATATTCAGTAAGTTCCTATTGTTCTAAATAACTTGCTTTGGGGGCTTAATTCCCTGACTTGACTTGACCCCTCCTTGGTACCTCATCTGTCTTATTTACTGCTGCATCCCCCAGTGCCTGGGACTCAGTTATGTGCTCAATAAATATTTGTTGAATGAATGAAATAAATGACCTAACTGTTTCCTAACTGAAACCTAAGTGTTTCCACTTCCCTGAGTTCTGGGTGGCTGTTTATACTTAATCTAAATCTCTAAAGCCCGTTTTTCCCCTTGAACAGGACTTCCAGTTTCCCAGCCCAGCATGAACTCCCAGTTGGAACAAAGGGAAGAAGGCCCATGGATGCTGGAGGGAGGAGGCCTAAGGAGTACCTGTCCTGGTAAGTGAGCAGGCACTGAAGCCAGTGAGTCTTGAGAGCAAAAGCCCTTTTGAAATACACATTAGTGCATTTGATAACCCCGTGAGGTAGATATTATAACCCCCATTGTACAGATGAGGAAATTAAAGCTGAAAGAGGCTGACTTGCTGGTTCAGAGCCTCACGGCTAGAAAGTGGTGTGGCAGGCCTTCGAAGCAAGGTCTGTCTGATTGCAAAGCCCACTATTCCACACCTCTTCCTGGCAGAGTTCCCCTGGGCTGGGAGATATTTGGGACCAGAGGTGGTATTGCTGGCCTCGGGGGGAATGAATAGTCATCTTTGCTGGCCTAGCACATTCTGTGCTTGGGGTTCACCTCACTTAGGCTCTCAGGTGCCCACCTTTACCCATACCTCCAGCTGTGATACCTACTGCTACTCCCCTCTCTGGCCCTTAATTGGATGCGTTCTCTCCCTCTGTGTGACCCTGCTAGAATTGCCTAAAGGGCTTATACGGAGGACCTCAGGAAGAAAACAAAAGGGAAGCCGTAGTTGCTGTGTTTCTCTCTTGCTCCTCATCCAAGGCTGCCCACCCCACCCCCACCTTCATGCTTCAGCCCCTGTGGATGTGTGACCTCTGGACGGGCCTCACGAGCTTCTCCCTGAGGTTTCAGCCACTTCTGATATTTTAAAAGTTAAAGCCTCAGAAGTACAAATGAATTTTAAGGTGACAAAGCTTACAGTTTGTTTGAAAGTGTAGCCTAATGCTTTATATCTTCCTTTCTGATTATTGTTGTTGCAAGGCAGTAAAAACAAAGTCTCTGGCAGATTTTCTGCACCATCAACTCCTGCTTCCCATCTTACTGTCTACTTTCTAAACACCCTGTCACACATTACCTCAGCCCTGTTGTTACCCAGGAACCACTCAAGCTTGCTGAAATCCTTCCTTTACAGGAGCCTCGGTGGTCCCTCTGCTGCCCGGCACCATGCCCGCCATGCGGGGCCTTGTATCCCAGGCGGTGCCCTGTGTAGAATTTCAGAAACTGAATGTGGGGTTATGTGGCTAGGGCAATGGCTGAGTTTTTCTGGAAAAAGGTTTCATCACAGCCTCAGAGAGTTTCAAGATCCTAAAAAGGTCAAGTCAGCACGTTATTAGAAACAACTTGGGAAGGGGTGTTATCAAATCTGATTTTACAAACTAATATACATGAAAAAAAGTTACCAACTATGGAGTGCTATATTAGCTGTATGATCGTGAAGTAGTTTGAGAAAAGTTTCAAGTCTGGCTATTGGAGTAACTAATACCCTGCTTCCGTGGTGTTGCACCTCTGCTCTGAGATTCACAGCAACCTGGGCATTGCTCGGCCGTTCTGGGCTGCTTTCAGAGCCCTCCGGTACCCCATCCTACCCCCGCCACGATGGCAGACCCAGGTCTTTAAAGTACCTTCACCTCACTGCTTGCTTTAGGAACTTCTGTTGTGGATGTTAGCATTTTCCCAGGCCCAGCTGGTCAGTTTGCCTTTTTCACATTGAATTTGTTACTCAGTCAGCAAATACTCATTAAGCACATTTGGTAAATGCCTGGAATGCTTTAGCTACTGAAGGTAAAACAGAGAACGAGACATAGCCCCTGCTTATATCCTGTGATGTGAGGAACATAAATAAAATGAATAAACAAAATTACTGATATAATGTCAGATAGTGAGGCATACTCTGAAGGAAAGCAGGATAAGGGAATAGCGATGGGGAGTAATGAAGGTGAGAATGGGAATACAGATGGCAGTTGGGAGCTGTTGTAAGTCAGGTGACTAGGAAACACCGCTTGGAGGAGGTGACGTCAGGGCTGAGGTCTGAAGGAAGAGAATAAGCCAGCCATGTGAGTGTCCGGGAGAGCAACACTCTGGGATATGGCATGTGTTGAAGCTCTGAGGTGGGGATGAGCTTGACTTGTATTAGGATCGGAAGACCCAAGGACTCAGTAAGCCGGGGGAGAGTAGTAGTCAGGGAACAGATCATTCGGGGCTTTGGAGGCCGTGGTAAGGCATTCAGGTTTTATTCACATAGTAAGATAAGCCCTGGAGGCTTTTGAGCAGGAAGGGGACCATACTTGATTTGTGTTTAAAAATTGCATATGGAGAATAAGACTTCCAGGGTTCAGGAGTAGGAACAGGGAGATCAGTTAGGAGTCTGTTGCAGACATTCCAGGGAGAGAGGATGGTGGCTGGTAGGAAGGATTCAGGACATTTTAGGTGTGAAAGCCAATAGGACTTGCCAGTGAATTGGTTGTGAGGGGGTTGTAGGGGCATTAAGGACGACCCTGGCCTGAGCAGAACCATGAACAAGAAGACGGATGAAGACACAGGCTGGAAAGGGAAAACCAGTTGTTCGGTTTGGGGCACATTTGGTGTGGACGTCCTTAGTCTCCTACAGGAGCCAGGTGGAGAGGTAAGGTGGGCGGAGATAGGATGATGCATGAGCATCATGCAGTTTCCTGAATTGTTCCTTTCCCCTCCTGCGGCTTTTCTTGGCACTTTTCCTCTTCTTTCCATCCTTTCTGATAGATGGTCAAGTTTTCAGAGCTGTCAAAGTCACATATGATCAACTACTGAATTACATGGAGAAGATGCCCCGGGACTGCTGTGCTCATGGTAGACTGGGCATTAGTACGCACATGCTCTCTGCAGGGAAACCATTTCAGAAGGTTTATAAGGAAAAAGCCTAAGATGATAACAAGCACTCATATGACATTTAACTGTCCCTCAGGGTTCCTTATGTGTTTTAACTCATTTAATCCTCACAGTAATTCTGTGAGAGAGCTACATTTATAGATAATGCATCCAAGAAATAGATTTGCCCACAATCACATAGCTAGTAAGAGGTGGAGTCAAGATTTAAACCCAAGCTATCTGTGTCAAGATTCCACATAGAAATACAAATAAAGGTCACCCAGAACTAACCTTGCTATTCTCTCCTCTGAGAAATAAGTAGAAACCGAACGAATCTTCAGGAAAATTGACGCTCATGAAAAGAAACTCCATAGCCCTCCCTGAAACTCCACCTCCTTACTCTCAAGCCCCAGTGTCGGAGACAGAGGTGCATGGGGCCTTACGCTTCACAGTTTCCCAGTAGTATACAGTACTCACGTTATAAAGTTTTCTCTTAAAATGAGGGAGATCCCAGAAAGGGTTAAGAATCATTAACTCTTCTTTTAAAAAGTACCTATTTTCCGATTATAAAAGCAATGTTATTCTATTTAAAATGACTTTTTATCTAGTAAAATAGGTTAATTTTAGATTTGGAACAGGATAAAAAAAATCAAGTTCCCCTATCATCCCACCACACAGAGGTCCCTTCCATCTTCTTCATATAACAAATGCAGTGATATATTTTTGTTTTCTAAGGTTTTTTTTTTTTTTTAAGTAATCTCTACCAACCCCCACTTGAGGCTCAAACTCATGACCCCAAGATCAAGAGTCACAATCTCTAGCGATTGAGCCAGCCAGGTGCCCCCTAATGGGGAGGCTCAGACCAGAGCTTGTACATTTTTCTAAAGTAGAAATAACAGTGTAAGTTTACATGCTCCTTTTTTCATGTAACGGTAGGTTTCTTTTTATCACTGCATGTTCTCTGAAAGGTTTTTATCTTTTTTATAATACTGACATTGGAGAACATTAAAAAATACAGATAAGCATTGAAGAAAATAAAAATTACCCGATGCCACAACCCAAAGACAACACTGCTTACACTCACACTGTGTATCTTGGCAGTGTTTCCTCAGCAAATACTTTTCTGCAGAAGGAACAATAGTGTACCCATTTCAGACATGGCCTCTATAGGGGTTCCTCTGTTGGCTATACTATGGACATTCCTTTATTAAACATTTATTTAGGTGTTTGCCTTTCTTTGGCAAGTAATGCTGTGAGCGCTTTTGTCAACACAGCTTTGTGTAATTTCTCGTTCGTTCCTTAGGACAGATTCTTACAGCTGCGGTTCTCATGCCAGCATTTTAGACTCTTGACACATGCAACCAGATTGCTCTCCAGAAAGGTGGTCACACCAGTGTGTAAGATCGCATGATGCTGCACCCCTAGCGACATTGTAGAATTTTGAAATCTAGCTGATTTGGTAGGTGAAAGAATTCATCTTGCTGGCACTGATCATCAGCTTTGTAAAGTGAATTATTTAAACCTGGTAAACAGATTGCCCAAACCACACCAAGAATTGTGAGACTAAGAAGACAAGTGGAGACTGTCCAGTAGTTGCCAAAGCAGAGGAAAGGGTCAGAAATACGGGAGCATTGCATCTGAGGGAGATTAGGGTAAACTTCTGTATCCCTTGGCAGTTTAGGAAAGGGAGTAAGGTGTGCTGATGTCTCTGAAGAGCCATCTTGGTCAATATTTACAGTTGAGAACAGAAATGTGAGGCAGCTGTTCTGGTGAAAGGCGTGGAGCATCAGACCTGCCTGCATGGGAGCTCGGCCAAACTTCCATCAGCGTTTTGTATTTCAGTAGTACCTTTTCTTCCACCGAAGGGGGGAAAAATGCTTTTCTAAATGTTTTTCAGACTGGAAGATTATGTCTGAATCACCACCCGAGCATGACATTTCTGAAGATCCATTCCAAGACACAAGTATAGAGCTGCCCCCTGGGGAGTCTGCTCACGGGAACACTGAACTGGGGAAGAGCTTCAACCTGAGGCCAGTCCTTTCTCCACAGCAGGGACTTCCTACAGAAGTGAGACCCCGGAAATGGGAAACACACCCACAGAGCTTCAGGAAGGATTCCCCTATTATGAAGCCCCACAGAGCAAGACCCTATACATGTGGCGAGTGTGGCAAAGGCTTCAGTTACTGTTCTTCGCTTTCTCAGCACCAGAAGACTCACACCGGGGAGAAGCCCTACGAGTGCAGTGAGTGTGCGAAGGCTTTCAGCCAGAGCTCGTCTCTTATTCAGCACCAGAGGATTCACACCGGAGAGAAACCCTACAAATGCAGCGAGTGTGGAAGAGCCTTCAGCCAGAACGCAAACCTCACAAAGCACCAGCGAACTCACACCGGAGAAAAGCCCTACAAATGTAGCGAGTGTGAGAAAGCCTTCAGTGACTGCTCAGCTCTTGCTCAGCACCAGAGGATTCACACCGGGGAGAAGCCCTATGAATGCAGCGACTGTGGGAAGGCCTTCCGGCACAGTGCGAATCTCACAAACCACCAGAGGACCCACACGGGGGAGAAGCCGTACAAGTGCAGCGAGTGTGCGAAGGCCTTCAGTTACTGTGCCGCCTTTATTCAGCATCAGAGAATCCACACCGGGGAGAAACCCTATAAGTGTGCTGCATGTGGAAAGGCCTTCAGCCAGAGCGCAAACCTCACAAACCATCAGAGGACTCACACGGGGGAGAAACCCTACAAGTGCAGCGAGTGTGGGAAGGCCTTCAGCCAAAGTACAAATCTCATAATCCACCAGAAGACCCACACTGGGGAGAAGCCATATAAATGTAATGAATGTGGGAAATTTTTCAGTGAGAGCTCAGCCCTTATTCGACATCATATAATTCACACAGGAGAAAAGCCCTATGAGTGCAATGAGTGTGGGAAGGCGTTTAACCAGAGCTCGTCCCTTAGTCAGCATCAGAGGATTCACACTGGCGTGAAGCCCTATGAATGTAGGGAGTGTGGGAAGGCCTTCCGGTGTAGCTCCGCTTTCATCAGACACCAGAGACTCCATGCTGGAGAGTAACCAGAGATAGGACCAAAGTGGGTGGGGACCTGGCAGGAAATGCAGGTAGTTTGAAAACATCTGGAGACGTCGGGAGTTTTAGTCTGTAGCTCAGAGCCACACCAAAAGCACCTTTAATAAATAGCCCCGATTTTACATGTTGCAGGTGGAAAGTCTCAGGAGCGCTCTTCTTACTCAACTCTTCAAGCATCAAGAACCCAACTCAAATCATACTGGAGATTTACCTCCATTTAGTGAGCCAAACTGCATTTTGGAAACCATTAGGAGTAAGTGACCAATGAGTGAAGAACTTCATTCTTTCTTAAAGGCCAGGTATTTCAGGGATGGTTCTTGAATGAGGGCTATTAAAAGAACCAACACTGGACAGGAATGAACAGTTTCTCCATAATAGGGGAGTAACTCAAGTTGAGGAAAGGTTCTTCATGTTGTAATCTCATCAGGGGTGGGGGAGGGATACCCACTCTTTAAAGCTCTATATAGGAAAATCTAGACATTGCCAGGCCCAATCTCTACTTGAGATCTTCAAGTGTTTGCTGCTGCTGTAAAGAAAACACCCAGAAGGTAAGAACAGGCTGAGGGTTATCTAGAGGAAGCCAGTGAAATGCCTCAGCATGGTATACCCCTCTGTGGAGCCACTAGGACAACCTGAGACCTACCATCTTTCCCTGGCTCATGGGCCAGTGGGGCCTTCATTTCCCTTCCTGGAGAAGTTTCCTTTACAGCAAGATTTTCATTATTGGCCCCCTTTCTCCCTTGCCGCGTCCTGGGTCTTGCCTTTTGATATGCCATCCTCATACCCAGCCTGCATGACTTCATCTCCGAAATAAACCCATGTGGTTTGGGTTTAGGGTTTAGGTAGCCATTTGACTTGAGTCATATTCCGCTATCATCACCCAAGGCCTCTAGCTCTGGTTTCCTGGTCACTTGGCAGAGGTCCTGGAAGGCTTATCCTTCCCTCATTGATCTGAATTCTCAGGTAATCCTTCCCACTACAGTTCTCCAACCCTGCTTATGGGTGAGGGGAGAAAATTAAAACCCACCTACTTTAAAGGCCTATTGACAAGTTTAAGACAATACAATTAATGCTAAGAACATTAAGTTCTTGGGTAAATTACTCCTAAGCCCTTCCCTTTAGGCTGGTACCCAGAAGCCCCTCTAAGCTACTCAGGTGTAGCTCACCCCAGTACCCAGGTATTTTGGTTCATCCTTCTATTTACCACACACTTAAAAGTAGGAGTCATGAGCTCGAGTCAAAAGGAACATAACTAATGAAAAAGAGCAAGACTCGGAAAGACAAAAACATGCCATTAGAAAATGGCCCTCAGGGACTCAAGACAGGTCAGGTTCCCTTTTTTCACATCAGTGCCCCTGAAGCCTGGCTGTACACTGGAACTGATAGTGAGGGCTTGCTTGCATTAAGGGCTATGGGCCCTTAACCCAACTCAAGATTGAAACTGGTCTGGGATAGGTTCCTTGCCATGATGAATCATGCTGAGGTACGAGTTTTCTTTTTGGCAAAGAATTTTATTCTTACGAAGAGTTCCACGTATATGCAGCCTACAGAAGGCCAAGAACTTCCTTTCTAGGGTGTCTTCTCTGAGCTAGTCCCATACAGGGCATCAATCTGTCACCCAGAAGGAACTTGCTACCCAAATAGCTACTTCACAGCTTCTGCCACCCTGGCCCACCATCTGACCACAAAGGAGCTAGCTCCCCCAAGGAAGAGGCCACATCAAAAGGTCCACTGGTTGTCAAATGATCCTTTATTGAAACATTTTCCTTTGTAGTTAACTCTGTGGGAAAGAAAAAAGCAGTATGTCAGTAGGACAAAAAAATCTTATAGTCCAAACCCACTACTGACCATTTCTAGAACTGTTCCAGCCTATCTCCATGAATACATTAGCCTTCCTCCAGCTCTCACCCTGCTTCAGGCAAGTGAAACAGAAGTCACTTACAGCCGGGCATTCCAGCGCACCACTGTTGATGTCATCTATGATGTCATGAGGGTGGCGGCCATCTACATTGCAGCCCACAGACTGGGCAGTCCCCAGGATCTCTTTAATGGTTCCTAGAATTAAGAAAAGTAGCATCAGAGGAGCTTCAGTCCCTCACGATCCTCAGATACCCATGGGGAAATACTTGAGAGTTTCACAGCAGGCAAGGAGGAATTAATCCTGTTTTATGGAATGACATTCCTGCTCCTCTAATCCAAGATTCAGAACTCCATTTAGTTACGTAAGCTCTTAATACAAAATCTCCACCGGTCCCTTGATATGCAGACTTAAACACATCCAGCCCCCGATATTCACCGATACCAAGCCATTCTGCCACCCAAATTGTGGATCTTACAGTAACGTCCCTTCAAACTGGGAAATGCTAGCACACAGTGAATACACCCCATATAACAAGGCAGTTCCATGTTGTCCACTTACCAGAGAGTTCTCTCGCTAAAGATCGGTGTCGCATCTGTCGGGCAATATTGACAATCTCATCAAAAGTGATATTTCCACTGTGCTTAACTGCAGAAAAGAAAAACAGCGTTTAAGCTTGGTCACAACCCAAGGCCAGAGCAGACCACATCATGCACTCCCTCGTCTTCATTTCCAGGCTGTTCCCATGCTTTCGGCACAGAGTCATCCACATGAAGAACAACCCTGTTTCCTAAGCTGGGGTTTGCTATCAGCTCACCACTGGATTGCACCAGCCAACAGAAACTGATCGGGTGCAGTGGCGGGTGGCTGGGGCAAAAAACAAGTCTTTGCGAATCTTACACAAATGAGACTATTTTAAACATGAAAAAAGACAAGTCTTGGTTACTGGGGTTAAGCTGTTCAGACCATCATCCAGCTCAGAAGTGGTCTGCTAACTGGTTATCATTATCATTTCACCCTACTGCTGCTTCCCTCAGCAAGCACTGATTAGGGCCAGCCTCACGTTAGGGACTGGGGAGCCACATGACACTTCCTGGTGGTGCCTGGCTAACAGCTTATCAAATCCCTCTACACCTCCCCCTAGGTTTCATTAAAGGGAAAACATGCTAAGTTATCACACTGGGGAGATGACACCACTCTCAAATTACCAGGGAAAAGGCCACTCACTGTTTTTCTGCTTCTTTCTGTCTCTTGGTGGTTCCTTGAGGGCTTTGATAATCAGGGCAGAGGCAGAAGGTACCACTTCAATCTGCAGAAGAGATTCTCCATGTGAATAAGCCCCATTCCACCCTCTAAAGAAGACCATCAATACTGCAACCTGGCTCTCAAAACACATGGGCCAGACTGGGCTTGCTGTACATTCTCGAGTTATTTTCACAATCGAAACAGGTCCTAGCCTAAGAGACACAGTGAGTTGCCCAATGTCACACAGGTGACAAGAGTTAGTATTAGGCCCACATCTTTGCTTTCTTGATCCATGATCTCAAAAAAAGCCTTCCCCACATTTAAACTTGTCCTCAGCAGCTCACCACTGGTGGCAGGTGGCAAAAACCTTACCCCCAAGAATCCCAGAGGGCTGCTACTTCTGCCCTCCCCCTCAAACCAAGTACCTGGGCCTGTCTGTTCTGAATGGTCAGTTTCACCGTAATCCTTAGACCCTTCCAATCACCGGTTGCCTTGGCGATGTCATCACCAACCTTTTTTGGAGACTAGAGAAAGAAAGGTGTATCATCACACTGTGCTCTAAGTTGACGTACAGTCTGCAAACCCATCCCTCTCACTTGGCTAACACCCTGGCCAGCACACAGAGCACTGTCTGAAGCACATAACTGCACCTCCCAAATCAAGGCATGGCTATCACAGTTGCACACATCGGGGAGATGGGGCTAGAGGTGAAGTTGGGGGATGTAGGCCCAGGGTCTTAAGATGGCAAAGTCCCTTACCTACCTACCCTCCCATAAGGACCCATGCGGTAACGTAGGAATTTCCAACACTGGTTACATTCAAATCACCTGGAGAGTTCTAAAGACACCAGGTTTCCGCAAGGATGGGATCTGGGCATTTACTACTTAAGACTTCCTAACGACCACTAGCCTAAACAGGAAAGATGTTCAGCGGGTGCCAACTAAATGGAGAGCCAAGGAAAAGTGTTAACACACTGGTTAAGCAAGACCACGTGGGAACAATGTTTGGTTCAGGAGACCAATGTCCAAGAAATAAAGGCCTAATACTATTTAGAGAAATGCAAGCTCAGTAAAAGCACAAAATGGAGAAGTGGGTAAATAGGGAGGGGGTCATCAGTGAAGCTGGTCATATTAATGAGTAAGTTATACAAGCTTCTATGTTAAGTTCACCAGGATTTTAAACCCACATCCCATTAATCCTCTCTACCGATATTTAACCCCATCAGTGATACGCCCATTACCCTGACTAGAAAACAGGCTAAGCAGGCTGCCCAGTGTCACTAAGCTACTCTTCCAAACCTTCACGCAAGACCTCTGGCCCACACCTCAGGTACGCTGAAGACCGCAGTTAAGATCTTGACCCTGGAGAGTGAAAGTCACAGCTTCAAAGTGGCACGTTCCAATCTCGTATAAGACCTTGTTATGGGAGCACTTCCAGTTCAGAGGCTCGGAGGTGCAGCAGGGGTTGCCAATCCGTCAACGTGGAAGGCACCTCAGATCCAGTCTTGTTTGCACAAGCCAATGCAAGCTAAGAAACCACCCTCCTCCACGAGGATGACTTACCAGACCCAGCGGGCCTATCTTCGGGGCCAGGGCAGACGTGGCACCGACTTCGCCACCGGTGCACCTCAGGTACACTGGGAGAAAGAAAGTATCAGTGTCCCTGTAGAGGGAGCCCGGCGGCACAGCCCTCTCTCCGAATCCTTCTGGGGCTGACCACACCACTTGTCAATTCTCGGAACAGCACCAACAGCCTCAGCTGCGAGCGAAGAAAGCCACCCAACCGCAGCGGGCGAGCCACCTCCCCCATGACGTGGACCGCTCAAAGCGCCACGTGGGACAGCGGCCTTCGGCTCAGCTACGGCTACCGAGGCCTGCACCGGGCCGGCGTAGAGACAGCCCAGCCGCCGGCCAACCCAGTGGAGGGGGGGACGCGCCCGGCCACAAACCTTACCCTAAGGCGTGCGGTCCTCCCTCCCCATTTACACGTGGGGAAGCTGAGGCCCAGAATGAGTCAGACTCGGCCAGGACCTCACAGCGCCCTGACTGCTGCACTGCAAAGGCCTCTAGCAGGCAGCAACTTAAAAAAGCCCGGCCTGGGAAAGGCAACGGCGGCTGGGCCGGAGGCCCGACGGGCTGCGGGGAGGAGGGATGCTCCATCTCGCAGCCCCAGCCATATCTAAAGCACGCACCGACTTTGATCTCGTTGGGGTCGAACTTAGGCGGCATGGCGGAGGCGGCTGGTGTCGGATGAACCCAGATTCGGGACGACCGAAGAAAGTTGCACCTTTGCCTCCCCGAGCCGAAAGCCAAAAGACCGGAAAGCCCTCTGACTCCGCCGGATATAGGCAGGAAAGGGCGATTCTCGCGAGAACCGTCGGCTCCGCCCAGCCTCCCAGCGACGCCCTTGCCGCCATGGTACTTGTGGGCAGGTGCCTGAGGCTGACGCCTGCTCCGCGGTGAGTTGTAACTGGGGCTTCGGAAGGGGGGGTTCGGGGAGGTTCGCCTGAGGTGGGGCAAACAAGAGAGGCTGCCCCAGGGCCCCGCTGTTCTCTATTCTTCGTTATCGTGAGGGTCACCCTTTGGTCCCTGTAGCCCAGTCGCAAAGCCCCGCCCCTCCCCTAAGGGGTCTGCACCCCCATTCCGAGACCCTAGGGCCATGGCGACCCCCGGTCCCCTTTTAGCTCCTTCGTGATGTGTGCATTTTGGTTATCGAAACAATTTCATTCGGGTCTAAATTTGGTCCAACTCTTAATTCCAAGATTCTACGGTTCTGAGTCTTAGACTTCGTCATCCTGGTCTGCATGACTTTCTGAGATTCTGAGTTTCGGTCCCCAGCTTCTGCGTTTGGAGGAGACCAGACTCCGGCTCCGCCCGGGCTCGTGCCCGGTGGTCTGCAACCCTGTGTCCATGACCAAGCCCTACGAGTGATCTGCCTGCCTTCAGGTCCACCCGTGGGAAGGAGCATCGGTGACCTGTCCACCAACAAAGCCAGGTGGGGCTCTCCCCACTCCAGCCTGGGGAGAATGGGTGTGGTTCTTCCCAATGGGCTAGACGTTGGGGGAAGGAATGGATGAGGAGTGGACATCGGGGAGCAGGTTGGGAAGAGCTGATCTATGGGAGGGATGGAGAAGGGATGATCACTGTGGGGGAGGTGGTGGGAGGGCTGGACTTTGGGGAGGGGATGAGAGAGGGTTAGTCCTTGGGGAGCAGAAGAGCTTGTCATCTGGGAGGGATGGGGGAGGGCTGTTTTTAGACTATTCCCCATTCCCTGCTGGCAGGTGGGGTGACAGGAGGAGCCTGAGCCAGCTCTGCAGGTTGGCAGGCTCCCCAGACTGCCCAGGCCCCTATGGAAGGAAACCTGTGATCTCTACCCCTCCCCTTGAGGACTGGGTGTGTATCTTTTTCAACTGCATCTTCCCCCTAGCTATAGTGGGCCCTGAATAAATATTTGT